TGTGATGTGGGTTGGTCAGTGTGATGTGATGTGGGTTGGTCAGTGTGATGTGATGTGGGTTGGTCAGTGTGATGTGATGTGGGTTGGTCAGTGTGATGCGGGTTGGTCAGTGTGATGTGATGTGGGTTGGTCAGTGTGATGTGATGTGGGTTGGTCAGTGTGATGTGGGTTGGTCAGTGTGATGTGATGTGGGTTGGTCAGTGTGATGTGATGTGGGTTGGTCAGTGTGATGTGATGTGGGTTGGTCAGTGTGATGTGATGTGGGTTGGTCAGTGTGATGTGGGTTGGTCAGTGTGATGTGGGTTGGTCAGTGTGATGTGATGTGGTCTGTGTGATGTGATGTGATTTGGTCTGTGTGATGTGATGTGAGTTGGTCAGTGTGATGTGATGTGGGTTGGTCAGTGTGATGTGATGTGGTCTGTGTGATGTGATGTGGGTTGGTCAGTGTGATGTGATGTGGGTTGGTCAGTGTGATGTGATGTGGGTTGGTCAGTGTGATGTTATGTGGGTTGGTCAGTGTGATGTGGTGTGGGTTGGTCAGTGTGATGTGGGTTGGTCAGTGTGATGTGATGTGGGTTGGTCAGTGTGATGTGATGTGGGTTGGTCAGTGTGATGTGATGTGGGTTGGTCAGTGTGATGTGATGTGGGTTGGTCAGTGTGATGTGATGTGGGTTGGTCAGTGTGATGTGATGTGGGTTGGTCAGTGTGATGTGGGTTGGTCAGTGTGATGTGATGTGGGTTGGTCAGTGTGATGTGATGTGGGTTGGTCAGTGTGATGTGGGTTGGTCAGTGTGATGTGGGTTGGTCAGTGTGATGTGATGTGGGTTGGTCAGTGTGATGTGATGTGGGTTGGTCAGTGTGATGTGGTGTGGGTTGGTCAGTGTGATGTGGTTGGTCAGTGTGATGTGATGTGGGTTGGTCAGTGTGATGTGATGTGGGTTGGTCAGTGTGATGTGATGTGGGTTGGTCAGTGTGATGTGGGTTGGTCAGTGTGATGTGATGTGGGTTGGTCAGTGTGATGTGATGTGGGTTGGTCAGTGTGATGTGATGCGGGTTGGTCAGTGTGATGTGGGTTGGTCAGTGTGATGTGATGCGGGTTGGTCAGTGTAATGTGGGTTGGTCAGTGTGATGTGATGTGGGTTGGTCAGTGTGATGTGATGTGGGTTGGTCAGTGTGATGTGATGTGGGTTGGTCAGTGTGATGTGATGTGGGTTGGTCAGTGTGATGTGGGTTGGTCAGTGTGATGTGATGTGGGTTGGTCAGTGTTATGTGATGTGGGTTGGTCAGTGTGATGTGGGTTGGTCAGTGTGATGTGATGTGGGTTGGTCAGTGTGATGTGATGTGGGTTGGTCAGTGTGATGTGGGTTGGTCAGTGTGATGTGATGTGGGTTGGTCAGTGTGATGTGGTGCGGGTAGGTCAGTGTGATGTGGGTTGGTCAGTGTGATGTAATGCGGGTTGGTCAGTGTGATGTAATGCGGGTTGGTCAGTGTGATGTGATGTGGGTTGGTCAGTGTGATGTGATGTGGGTTGGTCAGTGTGATGTGGGTTGGTCAGTGTGATGTGATGTGGGTTGGTCAGTGTGATGTGGGTTGGTCAGTGTGATGTGGGTTGGTCAGTGTGATGTGATGTGGGTTGGTCAGTGTGATGTGGGTTGGTCAGTGTGATGTGGGTTGGTCAGTGTGATGTGATGTGGGTTGGTCAGTGTGATGTGATGTGGGTTGGTCAGTGTGATGTGGGTTGGTCAGTGTGATGTAATGCGGGTTGGTCAGTGTGATGTAATGCGGGTTGGTCAGTGTGATGTGATGTGGGTTGGTCAGTGTGATGTGATGTGGGTTGGTCAGTGTGATGTGGGTTGGTCAGTGTGATGTGATGTGGGTTGGTCAGTGTGATGTGATGTGGGTTGGTCAGTGTGATGTGGGTTGGTCAGTGTGATGTGATGTGGGTTGGTCAGTGTGATGTGATGTGGGTTGGTCAGTGTGATGTGATGTGGGTTGGTCAGTGTGATGTTATGTGGGTTGGTCAGTGTGATGTGGTGTGGGTTGGTCAGTGTGATGTGGGTTGGTCAGTGTGATGTGATGTGGGTTGGTCAGTGTGATGTGATGTGGGTTGGTCAGTGTGATGTGATGTGGGTTGGTCAGTGTGATGTGATGTGGGTTGGTCAGTGTGATGTGATGTGGGTTGGTCAGTGTGATGTGATGTGGGTTGGTTCATGTGATGTGGGTTGGTCAGTGTGATGTGATGTGGGTTGGTCAGTGTGATGTGATGTGGGTTGGTCAGTGTGTTTGTGTAAGCTGGTGATGAATGGTTCCTCCAGAGTGAGCCGTTCCTCCGCATTCTCTCATTATTCTCCGACTGATGCATCTGTGCTGTAGGTCACTCACTAGTGAGCATCTGGGCATCTGTGTAATCTTTCTCTAGTCAATTAGAAGGCAAGCGTGCTGTGTGTGTCTGAATGCTGGATGATCCTCACACTGATGGATGACCGAGCTCTCAGAGCTACAGGAAAAATCACACTCATTAATTCGTTCAGCCGCAACGACAGCCTGTAACAGATAAACGATAACAATTACAGATAACCTGTTAAAGACAGACCTGCTGTGAGCTACAAGGCTGTTAATCAATAATACACGCTTCTGTTGTAGTCATTAGCATGCCGTGTTTTCTTCTTCATTACTGCATCGCCTTTCCAGTCCACCATCACATGAGGCTGATCACACTCAAATAATGACCAGCTCCTGGAGAAACCACATGACCAGTTCAGACACAAGTAAACAAATAGAACCTTAAAGAAGCGCTGTGTGTGTGTGTGTGTGTGTGTGTGTGTGTGTAATGTGTGTGTGTGTGTGTGTGTGTGTGTGTGTGTGTGTGTGTGTGTGTGTGTGTGTGTGTATACAATGTATATATAAATATATTTAAAAGCAGTCCTTCAAAATTTAATTTAGAAATATCCACTAAAGTTGTGCTTTCATAAACCAATTGCATTTTTTTTCTTTATTCTGGAGCTTTTTACAGGAGAGTTTGTTTTATTTTAATGAGATTTGAGGAGTGATAAACATATATATCCTCAAAGTCCCCTGTGTAAACACCTTGGTTCCATTAAGTATTC